TTGGGTGATATGTAAATAGTCACTTTTCAACCCTTAAATTCCACTGACATTCATCCCATAAAATGTATATTCACATAATCAATACTAAAGGCAAATGGTATACTCACCCACAGTTTAAAGTTTTGTAAAAGGATCTCTACTTGAATAAGTTTCCCTGAGCTGATATTTATTCTCCTCTGTAGCCATTGGTATGATCAGAGATTTTCTCCTAATTTAAAAGGGGGCATACTTATCAATAGCTGAGACATTTTATTAGCAGAGAGAGAGGCGGGGGTGGGGAGGTGAGTTTTATAATGAACATTTCTATTAAGGGTAATTCAGGAAAACAAGAATTTATAGCTCGGCAATAAATAAATAAATAAATAAATAACCCTTTCAGAAATGTTTATTGTTCCAGCTCATTAAAATGTTATGTCTCTCGGACAGTATTTCTTAAAGGCCATAAAATTAATAGTGTATTTTAAAAGCTTTATTGGCGTTTACTTCCTAAGTCTAATTTAGCTCCCGTGTTTAATTGTGCTGTCTCCTTACAGGCTGGGGATCCGGCGGTTAATATGACTTCTCTGTTTTAAAGGACACACGTTTCCTCCAGGGCTAGCTTCCGTACTCTCTCGAATGTGTTTATTTCACACTGCCTTTGCCTTTTCATGTGCTCAAATCCTGAGAATCTGTCAGAGCGAATCTGGAACTGGTATTTCTTTGTGTCTTAAAATAATGTGGAAATTTCAATGAACAGCTAATCATGTCCCTGGCCTGGCAGAAGGCACAAAACTAAAACCCTGATTCTCAGCTCCTGGGGTTAAGTTTTAAATCTTTCACTACGGAGAGCAAGGGCGGTGCGATAGACATTTACTGAGTGCCTGTGATACGCTGGGCCTTGCATGGCCCACAGCGGGGGAGACGGCACATGCATAACCCCAGGTGTAGCACAGTCTGCCTTCTCCATCTCCTTGTACACACGCACTTCCCAGCAACAAGCTCCTGTACCTTTTGAGGGAACGTGCCTTCCACCTTCTAGTCTATTTAGAATCTGTGCGATAAGGATACCTCTTCCTCGTTAGTCTTCCTGAGTGGAGTTGCTTTTACTTGTCATTCCCAAATCACAAGAACAAATATTCAGAGTCAATATTCACAGGAAACGTCAGACTCCCTGGAGGCGTATGTTCTCCCTCATCCTCACTGTTGGCTAGCCATCCTTGATCACAGCCCCTGCGCACCTCTGACCAAGCCTGGCTGCCTTTTTCATTCACCCCATCTCCCAGCATCGCCTGAGCATGGGTAGTGTCTCCTGCAATAGTCTTTTTAAAAAATATATTGTTAATGATTTAGAGAGAGAAACTTCAATGATGAGAGAGAATCATTGATCGGCTGCCTCCTGCACGCCCCATACTGGGGACTGAACCTGCAACCGGGCATGTGCCCTGACCGGGAATCGAACTGTGACCTCCTGGTTCATAGGTTGACACTCAGCCACTGAGCCATGGCAGCCGGGCCTGAACTACTCTTCCAGTGTCTTTACCTCCTCAGCCCTTCACCCCTTCACCCCTTCACCCCTTCACCCCGGCCCGTGGTTCAGTGCGTATTCTGTGCTCCAGAGAACAGTATCCTAGCATTGTCCAATCAGAAGATGGGAAGGCTGGGACATTTATGTACTCACATCTTGGGGCTGTGGTGAGACTAAGAGGCGCGATGCTGGATGGTAATAGAACCGTACAGTGCAGCTGTGCTGGACTCTGGTGGCTGGGAGGATGTACAGAGACCAGACGCATCTGCTGTATGTAGAACGTATTCAAAATACAAGGGCAGGGGCTTTATCCTTATTGCCCCTGCATTGCCAGCACCCATACAGGCTCCAGTACATGGGTTCCCATGCGTGGCTTAGTGTCTGCTGAATACAGATGAAATAATTGAGTAAGTAAAAAGCGAATGAATGAATGAAAGTGTGCTGAAATTTTTCAGGGATATTCAATATTGTAGTGTTTCTTAGATGAAAACACTTTAGAGTGATACTCAGATGAATGTTTTGTAGATGAAGAATCACAGGATCTCAGATCTGTGCCTTGCTATAGATGTGATTGGCAGCCTTCAGCAGATCTCACATTGTCCATGATGTTGCTGTTTCTGGATTTGACTGGCCATGATACAGTTTAGAGTAGCGAGTATAGCATTTGCTTTTCGATTGAGTGCTCTCCTCTGCTCCTGTTTGGTGGTTTAGCTGACACATTCCTGAAGGCATTATTTGAGATAAATTTTAAAATAGGGGTCATGTGTCTCTGGGCAAAGATGGAGCATAGAGAAGACCACAAACAGAAACGTGGGGATAAGAAACGTTTTGAGTGTATTTCCGGGTAACAGGGGCTAATTCGAGTTTAGGATGTATGACGTGTGCACATGGGAGGAAGAGGAAATCTGTGCAAATAGGATTGGAGCTACCATGAGCAGGGCCTTGGAGTAGCAGGCTTACATACAGCATCCTCACACCTTCAGACAGTCCAGTTACTGACTGGCCACGATGCCCGGCCTCCACAGTACGGCTCACACTCTCCGACAGTCCGTCTACTGCAACCGTGGGCAAACTACCGCCCGCGGGCCGGATCCGGCCCGTTTGAAATGAATAAAACTAAAAAAAAAAACAGACCGTACCCTTTTATGTAATGATGTTTACTTTGAATTTATATTAGTTCACACAAACACTCCATCCATGCTTTTGTTCCGGCCCTCCGGTCCAGTTTAAGAACCCATTGTGGCCCTCGAGTCAAAAAGTTTGCCCACCCCTGGTCTACTGTATGCTGCACCCCCAAACCCACTCCATCTCAGTCTGTCCTCTCCCCAGACCCTGTACCAGGGTCACCCCTGGCGTGAAGTTCTTCCCGCCTGTCTGATGCTGGCATTGCCGACTATTTACGTGTTTTATCTTCACTCTTCATACGAAGCCGGCCAGGGACAAGATAGCCTCAATCCCCTGTGTCAGCCAGCAGACTCCATGCCCAGAGAAGACACAGTAACTAGTGGAAAGTTAAAAGCATCCAGTTTGGTGATACTTACCTGAATCTCTTGTATACGTGAGTTTTTAAAAAGTTAGTGTGTTTTTAAAAATGTTAGTGTGTTTGAGGAAAAGGCTAGTAGTGTGTAGTCACACATATTTTAATCTTTGTTGTCTATCCGATTTTGCGTGTATCCAAAGAGGTGATAACAGTAGAAGGCGGGTTGCAGGGATAGGTATGATAGGGTGGGTGTACTTGTTTTAATATATTTCATAACTTTTTATTGTCTACACTGCTGACAGCAAAGGAATCCAAGTGATTGGACCGGATTTCTTTATTTTTCACGCACTGTAGAAAATTTCATTTAAAAAAACCTAATCTAAAGGTAGAAACGTGTGTTGATGGATGTTTAATTTGGTACAATCTGAGGCATCTACACTAATAAAAGAGAAAAATGGTAATTGGCGTACGACGCTGCCCTTTTCATTGGCTGATCAGGGCTATATGCAAATTAACTGCCAACTCAGATGGCAGTAAACTGACAAGAAAGATGGCAGTTAATTTGCATATATAGGAACAATGCAGGGAGGCGAAAGGGAAAGCAGGAAGAAGCCCCTGCCACTGACAGGGATCAGAAACCCAGGGGGGAGCTAAGGGCTGGGGGGCAGGGCAAAGGAC